TTATAAGTTATAGGTACGACATATTTACAGTAGATGATATTAATATTTTTTGTTATTTTTTATTATATTTGATGTATACTAAACTTATTATATAACTAGCAAAAAAAATCAGTAGTACCCGTTTCCGACTTTGCGAGGAGCTGAGTTGAGCAAACCCTCACAAATCCAGTCTCTAAATTCTTTCATGTCCACTGCCCCAGAAACATTTATGTCAAACCCAACATCGAATGGACAAGACTTCTGAAGTCTTATTTGTTTCTTGGTGGAAATTTTGGTCTCCATTGTTTTCTTAGGCTTCTTGGTTCGCCTCACATCGTCTTTCTTCGGACTGTACACAACTAACGGGAGCTGCTGTTGTTGCTTGATTAGCTGTGTGTTCTCTCCTTTTATAGTCTCATTCTTCGCGACAGACTGAAATATAGTGATAAAAAAATTGTATAAAAAAAATAATTATTGTTAAACAAAATTGTATTAAAGATAAAAAACAAAATTGAAGTGGTAAGACTTACATTGTTAGCCTGTTCTGGGATAGTCTTCTTCGATGGTGGCGTCGGAGGTAGAACAGCAGTTATTGCGTCAAACGAAGGCTGAGATCCATTCAATGCATAACCGAATATGGGGTGTGGCTCATAACTGAATCCTCTCTGCATATATGTATGTAATATACACAAGCAATTGAATTAAATCGAACATATATAAAAACCACATCTTTAATACTGTACATATGTATATAACTAACATATACATTTGAATACAAAGATATGTGGTTACCGGTACTTTGACCTCTGGCACTTCACTTAATTTTTGTTGGACAGTCTTGTCAACCTCCTCAATGAACTGGGTGTTGATCAAGAGGAAACTGTCATCGTCGTCGATGGGGCTGCTGGGTAGATGGATGTGAGTATTGGGTAGATGGATATCATGGTTGAGTGGGGGGATATCCTGGTTTGGTGGAAGGATATCAGGAATGAGTGGCTGGATATGAGGGGTTGGGTGCTGTAAATCAGGGTTAGGGGGGTTTTGGACCGGTACAAACTATACACACAAAAACCAATATAATTTTGAGATTTTTATTGATAGGGGACAGAACAAAAAATGGATATATATTGTGGCAAGATATGCTTACTCTGTCTGCTGCACTCTTCATGAGTGCTTCGGCTTTGGTCCTAAATGCTCTTATAGGAGATTTGATAGTGATCTGCATTTAAAAAAA